CTCTCCTCCCCGGGGGACTCTCCTCCCCGGGGGACTCTCCTCCCCGGGGCACCCACCGTGTACGCGATCCGGGACTGGCCGGGCTCGGAGCGCGGCCAGCGCCGGGAAGGAATGACCCTGGCCCGGGTCGGGAGCTGGCGGTGCGGCCGCACCTGCCTGCCCGCTCCTTCCCATGTCCGCGACGAGTACTTGGCAGGTTCTATTACTCTGAAACAGCTTTTAACTTTTTTAGCCAACAGTGGGGTTTGTCTTTTGAAATTCACTATTTTCCTCCCGCTCCGAGACACCTGCTCGGAGGGTTTGCCGCGGCGGGGTGTGCATTCGGCTGCCTCTCAGGCTCCACTTTTCTGTTAAAAACACTGACTGTAGTAGATCGGTTGTTTTGTRGCAGATTTCACTGTTGCTGCTGTTCAAACAGGTGAAGCACTAGGAATGACTCGGGTGTGCTGTACCGTGTGGCTTCTGCTCTCAGTTACCTTCTCGGTCTCTTCACTCTCTAGCTAGTAGAGCCCCTGCCCTTGTACTGATATCTTGGAATGCTCGGTCTACCAGGCTTAGGTGCCCTGTTGCACATTTATGCTTGAGTTTTTAATTGTTTGGGGCCATTAAGTGGCGTCAAATATGAGGGGCTTTCCTTTTTTCTCAAACTTTACTAGATGTCTGAAAAATTCATGAAGCTCTCTTGATTGATACTGTCCCCTGGGCAGCTGAAGAAAGATGCATTTTTTCAGAATTACATGCATTTGCCCAGTTGGTTGGTATAAAGAAAGAAAGGTTTTCTGTTGATGAAGCTGCTGATTAGCACTCACGATTCTCTCTCTCCTTGCTTAGATTGAGCGACTGGAAGTCAGCAGCTTGGCGCAGACCTCCAGTGCCGTGGCCTCCAGCACTGATGGCAGCATCAACGCAGACTCTGTGGATGGGACCCCAGATCCGCAGCGGACAAAAGTGGCCATCACACACCTACAGCAGAAGATACTGAAGCTGACGGAGCAGATCAAAATTGAGCAAACAGCCCGTGATGACAACGTGGCAGAGTACCTGAAATTGGCCAATAATGCAGACAAGCAGCAAAGTGCCCGCATTAAGCAAGTGTTTGAGAAGAAAAATCAAAAGTCAGCTCAGACCATCTTGCAGCTGCAGAAGAAATTGGAACACTACCATCGAAAGCTGCGAGAGATTGAACAGAATGGGATCCCTCGGCAGCCAAAGGATGTCTTCAGGGATATGCATCAGGGTTTGAAAGATGTTGGAGCAAAAGTCACTGGCTTCAGTGAGGGAGTGGTAGACAGTGTAAAAGGTGGGCTTTCCAGTTTTTCCCAGGCCACGCATTCAGCAGCAGGAGCTGTGGTTTCCAAACCCCGGGAGATTGCCTCCCTCATAAGGAACAARTTTGGGAGTGCAGACAACATTGCTAATCTGAAAGACTCCTTAGAAGAAGGCCAAGATGATGGGACAGGAAGCAAGGCTCTAGGTGTTATTCAGAATTTTCAGTCAAGCCCAAAATATGGCAGTGAAGAGGATTGCTCCAGTGCCACATCAGGCTCGGTGGGAGCCAACAGCACAACAGGGGGCCCTGTGGGAGCTTCCAGCTCCAAAACAAACACTCTGGATATGCAGAGCTCAGGGTTTGATGCAATACTGCATGAGATTCAAGAAATTCGAGAGACACAGGCAAGACTGGAAGAATCATTTGAGGACCTTAAGGTTCGCTACCAGAGGGATTATACACTGATAATGCAGACCCTGCAGGAGGAGCGGTACAGGTATGTGCTGTGCTACCTTGTTTCACAATCCAGTGCTGTGATTGCAGAGCACCAGAGTTGGGGATGGTACTACTCAGCAGGCTGTTCCCAGCAACCTGATTCAAATGGAAGGTTCTGTGGTCTTGTCAGGGATTTTCCTTCCCAGTTTTGCCTTTTTTAAATATTGCTATCTTGCTGCTCATCTCCCTCTCTGTAAAAGAAAGAGATTAGTAAAGAAAAAGGTTATTTCAAAGCGTTTTCAAAATAAAAAGTCAAGCCAAAGAGCTCTAATAAGGTATCCCAAATCGATGCAATTACTGTTGTCAGACAGTGCTTTGTCCTTCAYTAATCCTGCGAAGAGTTGGGGTAAGATAAATGACAGGGAACTAATGCGGACATTGACTTGACCCTGCCTTCTCCAACTCTCAGATCCAAGTCTACCAGAGAAAGAAAYATTCCAGCTTTCTTCAGGTTCTCTAAAAAGACATGATCTTGCCCATGTGCCARAACTAAGATAACCCTTCCCTTCTCTGCTCAGCCCACAGTGGCAGGACTCAAGGAAATGAAGTTGAATTAAATGTCAGATATTGACAGTGCTCTTGTCATGGAGATTGTAGGGCTCTGGAAGCAGGTAACCCATGTTTCCATCAGCCTTCCCCTCACTGGAAGGAATGGAAGGTGGAGCAGTTGCTGCAGGACTGCTGATCCCTAATAAGATCCCACTGCTGATCCCTGCTGATGTCACAGGGGAGAGGKGACAATGGCTTCAGGGAAGCAGCCTGGGAGGCTGCCACCACCTCCCTGCTGAGGAAAGCTGCCCATGGAGAGTTGCTGAGGGAATACTTCCCTTCCCTTGCTGGGTGGAAGAGGCTCTCAGCAGCTGTCCAGCAGAACATCTGAACATTCTCCCTGTCATATGCTGGAAGCAAGGGCTTGATCTCAGGCTCCAAAGGGAAAAGTTACTAGCTGTGCTTCTGCAGGCTAGTACAATCTCATTCAAAAGGATTGTTAAACTTTAAGTAACAAATGCAAGGCCCAAGCCCATGTTCTGGTGAAGGACAGCAGGCTGTTGTCACGAGGGATGTGAAACACAACCTGGAAGGCACAGCAGAGCTGCTGAGGGTGGGGAGAGCTTGCTGAAGTGCCCTGTGCCACTCGCTGTATTGGTTTGTGCAGCGTGACAGGAAGTTGCCCCTCAGCTCTTCAGACATGCTGATGCCGCATCATTGGAAAAACTCGGGAAAAGGCTTAGCCTGCTAGGATCTGGTAGAGACAGTAGGCTTTCTGTGTGCTTTGCAGAGCTTGGGCAAACAAAGCCAGACCAACACCACTTGATAATCCCGCTTTGCAACCATCAGCAGTTTGACTGAAACCAGCACCCAGCACGGCAGCTTGGGTTCCTCGTGCCTCAGTGTCATCAAGTCACATCCCAAAGTGACATGGAGCTGGATCTTCTGCTCCRCATTAGAGAAATGCTGTTGTCTATTGCTGTGTAGGTTGCTGTTTCACACATACAGGAGTAGCCGTTCCTGGTGGAATGCTATATGCACAGCTGAAGGAGTGGCCTGGAAGTAGACTTGGGGACTGATGTGTGTTGTCAGCTAAACTGGCTGGTTAGTGCCCAGCACCTCTGAGCGAGGCTCACGTAGGTCCCATGAAGTTAGTGCACCATGAAGTTATGCCTGTCATGTGCCATTAACCTGTGCAGAACGCTCCTCTGAGATCAGCCCAGAGCCCAGCACTAACCAAGGCAGCCTGGAGTGAAAAGGGAGAATCTGCATTTGGCTTACAAAAGCTTAAGATAGTAATTTAGAGTTGTGATTTGGAATGTTGATGCAAATTAATTAAAGGTGTGACCTTTAAAGAGGACCAGTTAAACCACACTCAGTGCCCTTGTCTGTGCAGGTAACTGCACAATCAGCAAGAGTTTATGGGTTAATCACAGTGAGATGATGACGTGACTGTACAAAAGTAGATTCTTGTCTTTATAGCTTTTGTATTTTGAACCGTCATGATGATAGAAGCCAACATCACCCTAGAAGTGGAAGGTGACGTGATATGTCCAAGGACAGAAGGTGCTGCTGTCTTGGCAGGGAAGAGTGGCACCTGTTCCTCCAACTGGAACCCCTCTTACTCCTCAGCTGTCTTCAGAAAAAAAAAAACTAAAATGGAACGGAGGTTGTGGTTTGATGCTGGGAGGCTGGGGGTTCAGATTAATCATTACTGGCTTTAAAAGCTGTACATACCTCTTCACTGTGCTCTTTATGTGACTCTTTCAAAACCRAATAGAGAGTTAAGTAAGAGCTGAAAAAAGTTTTTGGAGAAGCCTTTSCTTGTCAGGTGGCACTGAGGGTACCTTGCATTACATCTGGAAGCTGGAACAAAGCACATGCCGTGATACTTTCTCACCTGTCTTTGTCCATTTCCCCTTTCTTAGGTCATCTACTGTTTTGCAGGTTCTATCTTYTTTTTCCCTGTGTGCTTGTGCAACTTCTGTTTATCAGCCATGGCTTGTCCCGCAGGTTTTTCATTACTTCCTCCATCTCCTCCCTCCCCTCTCCCTGCTTCTAAATCTTGCCTATCACTCCATATGGCTGCCAGTTTGCTAACCGTGTCTCTGAGGCAGGGACTCACCGGTCCAGTTGCACCAGTTCTGGCACCCTGGTGCAAGCCTGGCAGCACCATGTGGAGTGGGCTTGTGCTGCCCAGCACATGCTGGCCCTGGAGCACTGCTCTGCTCCACTGGGGCTGTGCCACTGGGGAAGGAAGAGTCTGACGGCASCTTGGCTGTCACTGTGTTCTTCTGCACCAGGAGCAGGTGCTGAAATGTCTTGTTGCTTATCTCATTATTGGAAGGTGCCAGTTGTTTACTGATACAAGCAGTGACTTTCTGTGCTGTTGAGACTGAAATAAAGTTCCTGGTGAGTATTTTCATCTTGCATGTCCCTTTAGGTTCCTCTTTGTACATGATGAAATCATAAGCTCACATATTTGGAGTGTGGCCAGTCTAAAGGTTTGGGTTTCTTCCCAAGCCTGACAGCCTTGGAAAGGGTATTTGGGTTTCCCATGCTCCTGTCAGAAGAAAACCTTCAGCCAGGCGGCTAGTCATTGGTGCTTCCATTTGTCTGGGTTTTGATGTAGTCTGTTTGTCACACTTCAGTCTGTCCTCATGACGTGTTACAAAATAGATCAAAGGAGCTAAACCTCTGAGGTCTGGGCAGGGTTGGCAGGGCTGTTCTGGAGTGTGGCTGGGCAGTGTTGGGCCCAGTGGGTGCTGACCCAGCCAGGACAGCAGCAGGATGTCCCTGCAAAGCTGTCAGTGCTCCTGGCAGGGAGCCCCCGAGCTGAGGTACAGGGATGCATGCAGGTGCCGAGAGCAGCCTGTGCTCCATCCTCTAGATAGAAAACTTGGAGCAGATTACAAATAGCTACTGSTTTTAGCTGTTTATTCCGCTACTCGAAGCAATGTGTTCACTAGCATAAAGATATATTTAGTGACAAATAAAGGTCACATGAAATAGCTTTTTATAGCAAAATTCCCATTTTTATAGCTATAAAAAGAAAGGTCCATCTTGAGAGACATTTGAAGACAGATACTAMACTTTSTTCGCAGTCTACTGCAGTTTTTGTAGTGTTAGTTTGGTCAGAGTTTCTTCACTCACTRTAGAACTGAGTGCAGATCAAATGTCTTTTTTATCACATCCCTCCCTTCCATATGCTGTATTAGCTATGTATTTTGCCGCTATTACTTTAAAACGCCTTTAAAGCTTTTTAAAAAAATGAGATGGCCATAACTGTGTTTCTGAGCCTTTTTTAGACCACCTTCCTAATTCCTACACAGTGAGCTTCAGAAAACGTGTGGAAATCCAACATGGCAGCTTGAAATTAAATGTTCCCGTAATCCCTCACGTGAGCCAAGCACCCCAATGATGTACTCTGCTCTGCTGTTTCTGGGCTGGAGCTTCTTCTTTTAAGGAGAAATTTCACATTTTAATGAGTAAAAAAATAATTCTTGAACTTCAAAGAGGAGTTTTCCATACATGAAGTGAAGTGGATTTTGATCATTCAGGGCATTGCTATATTCATAGACAAGTTTAGTCTGTTCAATAGACCCTGGCACTCCTGAGATAGAGGGATGTGTTTCATCTTAAMCCTCTTGACAGGTGGTCTATCCCTTTTTTTTTCTCTAATACTCCCACTTGAATGCAAACCAGCTTTCGGGCCTCATAAGTCACATAAACCTCTCTTTGCTTTTTAAATTTGAACACCAGTAGAAAACAGCAGGAAAAATTAATTTTCTCTATTGTATATAATGGGACAAGAAATGAAAAGAAGCTGAATGGAGGATGTGTCATTTCAAAAACAAGTCAGGATAGGTTAGGAAGGGGTGTGTTTTTTCAAATAACCCAGTTCTAGCAGTTGCCTGCCTGACACAGTGAGTTCTGGAAGCACAGGTGATTCTTGGGTGTAAACTGCAGAAGTTCTGGGGTTGAGCAAGGAGTGAAATACGGGTTAGGAACAAGCTGGTTGTTCTGCAGTCTTCAGGGCAGGAAGATTGGAATCAACCCTTCTGCTAATCATGTTCTCTTTAAACTCTTAACTATACAGATTTGCAGGATTGCCRTATGTTTCCTGTAGATTGAGGTAGTTTTGAAGTTATTAAAATACAATTGTTTTTKTTAGAGAACAAAAATCCTTTTGTTAGGATTTAAGATGCTTGGCAACAGCTGCTTTATGAAAGGTATTTATGTGAGAGGAGGCTAAAACACACAATAATGCTATTTTCAGAAATGCTTAAGTTTCTTTTTGTGTAATAAAACCCACTGGAGAATTTTGTAATATATTAACAAACTGAATATATTTCAAGTAATTGATGCTGCCTYTGGGGCTTAGAGTGGGTTTAGTTGTGAATTTTTGGTTGTTGGCAAGTTGTTGTTGGTTTTAAGTGTGTGGGAACAAGTGGCAGTATTAATGATCTGGTCTCCTTGTTCATTAGCCGGTCTTCACACGGCCATTCCCTTTGTCTGTCTGGGGAAACCAGTTCTCTGCTGTGTCCCAGCATGGCTGCACAGCTCTTCTGGAACCTTTCTGGCCTGAGCCTTGTTGGCTGGCAGTTGTCTTGGTCTGACTGCTGCTTCACCACATGTGTTTTACTGCTGCAAATTGTCATGCTGTGTCTTGAGTCCTCCTTAGTTTAAAGTAATATTGCATTGAGAACATAAATGAAAATTATCTTCATACTTGTCTGTTAAATACAAACTCCCCAAAACTGTTTTTAAAGGTTAGCTTTTGACTTCAGATTCTGAACCCCCAAAACAAATCTTGAAAAAAATGAGAAGCAGGATTTGTATCTTAGTTTCAGAACTTGCAATTAAATTCTTCATTCTAGATAAATATTGTTTATTCATCTTGTGTGTTTGTATATGAATTAAATTCAGGTGGAGTCAGAAGGAAAACAAAATTTAAACAAGGAATTCTSTCTGTGGTTAATTCCTTAGAAATTTCTTGGTTCTTAGTATCARGATTCAGATGATAAGGACTGTACAGTAAGCTTTTTCCATCAGTTACAGTGAGTAGACAATTAAAATCAGAGTGGAAAAAGCACAGTGACCACCATAGGCTGGGCCCATACCTTTGTTACCATCAGAGCTATCATTTAAGTTAGTTTAAAACTCCCAACTGAAAGAGGGTTTTGGTTTTTTTTTTTTGCTTTTCTGAGAAAAACAAAACTGTATCTTGGAATTGTTGTAACCTGGGTTTTTTTGAGCAACCTTTTCCTCAGGACTGCTCCAGGTCCATTCATCAGGAGCACACTGAAAAATAAGCCTACAGGTTAGTGATTCATGTGTCCTTCTTACAAGTAATACCATGGTATTTGCTTGTTAAGTTGCATCATTCATGGGAGATAAAGAAAAAACAAGTCCAAGATCCATATGACCTCATGCAGGGATCAGACAGTAACATTATGTTCTCTGAGGCATCAGTCACATGTCATTTCTTTGTCATTTTATGCCCCTTATTGTTTCAAGTGTAGATGAAATGCTTAAGAGCTTATAGTATTAGAAGGAAACTGTTTGGTTGACACAGAAGTTTGAGGAATACCTTATTCTGTTCTCATTCGGTCTTGATTTCTTGCATCACTTGACAGTTATCATGTAATTGTGTGGTTTTTCTCCAGGATAGGAACAGTATTAGAGTTCACCTGGTAGAAAGGACTAATTCCCAGCATTAGTGCTACTGTGCTGGTTACAGTACACAGGATATTGTGTTCCTTACTTGGTTTTCACTGGTGTCATTTTGCTATCCTCTTCACATTAAAGCCATTGTACCATGTGTTGTCATTTCTAGATGTGAAAGACTTGAGGAGCAGTTAAATGACCTGACTGAGCTCCACCAGAACGAGATCCTCAATTTAAAACAGGAGCTGGCCAGCATGGAGGAAAAGATTGCCTATCAGTCTTATGAGCGAGCYCGGGACATCCAGGTGAGTGACACAAGGACCCAAGTTCTGCCCTCTGCCAGCTCCTTCAGGAATTCATTCAGTTCTAAGTACTCCTGCACTTCAATATTTGACTGTAATCCTTGTAGCTTTACTGCTAAAGTGCTGTGTTCCAGAAGGTCCTTTTTCAATCTCTGATCCTTGGGTAGCTCTCCAGGTAACCTCCTCTGGGAAGTAGGGCTGTGCCCCACACAGAGGGAGCCTCTGCTCAGTAGGAGCAGAGTCTGTGAATCAGTTGTGGAAGAGCAGAAGCCAGAGCCCGCTCTTTGYRCAGGCCATTGTGTTAGACACTCAATGGGCCATGACCCAAAAACCTTTTTTTACAGTAGTGTTCCCAGTACRTGGGCCCTGGGGTGTGGTTCTGTGYCACTTGTTTTACAGAATGACAGGTGACATATATCTAAGGAAAAATGGCTTCGTGTGTGCACTGCATTGAGTCAGGAAATAATTCTTTCTGTTGGCTTGAAAGAAATAAGGAGATGTTTTTAAAAGACAAATTTCTTTCAGTATGTAAAAAAAGCTATGAAACAGAGGTCTTGGAAGCTCTTCTGCAAAGCAAAGCAGCTGCTGACCCTTACAGAGAAAGGCCTATTCAGAAACAAGTCTCTTGTCCATTTTAAGTACTTTCTGTGCTAGTTTTAACAGACTTCTCAGTTCTGATCACTGATTGGAGATATTTGTAGTGTCAGCAGAGAATTGTAGGCTAAGAGTTTTCCCTCTTTCCTCCTCTGAGGTGCTTCAGCCAGATGATTTCCTCTGGAGACCAAGCAGGCTGTGCTTTTCACACACCTGTGGATCCAGCTGCAACTCCTGTTGCATCAAATGTCCTTCCTGGTCACAACTGTTTGTGGCAGCTGAACAATTCTGCCCCATGCTTTTGGGGGTCTTAACCAAAGAGAAGTCCTTACGTTTCATTGACCTCCACAGACATGGTGCAATGAAAAATGTAACAGGTGACAACGACCTTTAAGTTAAATTTAATCAGTGTCTGTGGACAATGGTACAATGGCCTCTGGCAGTGTAAACAGGAGGCTCTCCCTTGGGGGAGTGTTACGACAGTCAGGTTGTGTTCTCCTCGATAAATTCAGAGGCAGAAGATTGAAGTGGGGATTTCTCAACAGCATTTTTAAATCTTCATTTTATTATTCAGTGCTTTCAGTGTAAACTTAGAAATTGGGACAGCCTATTCCTCCGCACTACTGGGGAAAAGGGAAGTGTTTAGTTTTGTTGCATGAAAAACTATTTAAGAGCATGGGCTGATGGTGCAGAGAAACACTCCTGGTTCCTTTTTTTGTGATCAGTCTGGGAAAGACTGCTGCAGACTTATAGATCATGCTTGCAATTGGCCTGTGTGTCTGAGAAAGGTGACTCTGAGAGAAGATCAGTGGAAATACTCAACTTTCTATCTTAAAGGGCAGAAATCTCTCTTGTGTTAATTGCCTGAAAACTTTCCGTTCTCCCTAGCCCCCTGCATTGCACATCACCAGTGTTTTAGTGTGGGTTGGATTGGTCCAGTTGGGGTTCAGCTGGGTGAAAAGGTCTGACAAAATCCCCCAAGTCAGTGGAGCTTTTGAAAGGTCAGTTTATGCAGGGCAGTCTTCTCGTTCTACCTGCTTTTGTTTTTCCACTTCCTGTAATCAGTTCCATAAATCTCATGCTTTTTACCCTTCTAGATATCTTTCCCCAGCCCTCGCAGTGTCAGTTGGAGCTGTGCCCGTGTCACAGCTTGTTGGAGTCTGGAGATCTTCCTCCTGCAATGGCAGCTGTGCAGTCCTAGCCCTAGTGCCCCTCAGACCTTTCCCTGAGCTCACAACTCACTAAGCAAGGAAATGCAGCTGAGCCTTTGGTAGCTGTTTTTGTTGGTGTAGTTTTCTGCCAGGTTGCCTTGTTTACTGCAGAGGGGTCAGATAAGCACAAGCCACTTCAAGGAAAGTGTTGGAAGAACGGAGGAAGAGGATGGAGATTTCTGGCAGGCACAGCCCCTTTTTTTCTCTCAGTGGTCTCTTGGAACTGTAGCTGAAGTGACCAGCTGTCTGGATAGACCCTGTTTCTGGGCAGAGACTGTGGGGTTGCCCAGCCTGGCATCTCCATTCAAGCCTTCTGGGGGCAGATGAGGTGCTGTGGTGTGTTGCAGGCTGAAGTGCCCAGTCAGGGAGGGGCTTCTCACCTCGCACATGGGAAATGGCACCTCTTCCTCTGTTCCCACTGCAGGGCAGAAGCTCAGTGTGTGAGGTGGGGATGGTGGTCCTTGCCTGGCCTGGCCTGGCTGGTGAAGTGACAGTTGTGCACTTGAGTGACCCAGTGTGTGTTSTTGCCCACAGGAGGCCCTGGAAGCGTGCCAGACACGCATCTCCAAGATGGAGCTGCAGCAGCAGCAGCAGCAAGTGGTGCAGTTGGAGGGGCTGGAGAACGCCACGGCCAGGAACCTACTGGGGAAGTTCATCAACATCTTGCTAGCTGTCATGGCTGTCCTCCTTGTCTTCGTCTCCACTGTGGCCAACTGTGTCGTGCCCCTGATGAAGACTCGCAATAGGACGTTCAGCACTTTATTTATAGTGGTTTTCATTGCCTTTTTGTGGAAGCACTGGGATGCCATCAGTGGCTACTTGGAACGGTTCTTGTCTCCCCCCAGATGATGGCGGCAGGAATGGGCTGCGCCGCTCGCTCCTGGCGCTCTCGGTGAGCAAGTGTGGCAAAGATTAGTCAGCARCTACTCCGCTGAAGTTTTAAAGTGTCCGAGTGAATTTGTTTACATTTAGAATAACGTTTTTTCTCTGCAAGATGCATTGCAATAGTATTTTTTAGATTTTATTCAAGAACTCTTTTGGTGAGAATCCTGGATAATTTTTATGTAGCATGGTTCTCTTTGGATGCAAATCTTAAGATTCTTTAAAGTGTACAAAAGAAATGAAAAAAATACAGAAATTTGGAGCATACCAATGGGCAATTAAATTGTGGCTTGAACTACTGTCCTAAACCGGTCAGGAAGAAGAGAACATGATTAACTTAAGATGAGCAAAGCTCAATCTAGTGCACAGCCTTGAATGATGGTACCACAGCAAACCTGTAACACTAAACTTTTACTGTGAAGTCTGCTCACATTCCATGTCCAAATGTATGCGTTCAGAGTGGTTTCTTTCCTTAACAAGAGAAAAACAACGTGTGGATCCCTCTCCCAGCTCAGCATCTGAGTTCGCCGTTTGTGCTAACCTGACTTCAGTAACTTTTTGTAAGGCTGGCTAACTTGGCTGAGTGTATGGAGTGGAAGCCTCATGCCATACACAGTAACTGCACAGTCATGCTACAGTATTTTGAAGTAGTCCTTGACATACTTATCTTTAAGCTGAAGCCCTTGGTCGCACTTTTAAGGTTTTTTTTAATATATGTATATTCACAGATTTAAAAAAATCCGAACAGCATACTTGAAGAGTGTAATACTCAAACTCTCAGTGCTTCCTTATTGTTTCTAATAGGATTTTTTATTACTATTATTATAATTATTATTATTATTATTATTGGGGGATTTTTTGGAAGGGGTTGGGGGGTCATTACTTTTTTTTTCTTTCAAATAAAGAAGTGATGTTTTTAAATGAAGAAATGCGTGAATAATTGTGAGCCGTCTTGTCCTGCAGCAGTTCTGAGGAGGGCAGAGAGTAGTTTCTAGTGTCAGCCTGTTGAACACAGCACTATATGCCATTTGTCTGTCCTCCTGAGCATACAGATGCAGCATCATGGAAAACACCYGTCTTCTCCACACCTTTTTGTCATGCTGGGCTTTTGTTTTTTTCCAGATGTGAAGGATAGTATGTTTATATTTTTTGTTTGCATGTCATCTCCCATTTCTGGCCTCAGGATAAGAACAAGGAATTTCTGTTCATCTCTTCTTAGGGAAAAGACAGGTTAAGGAAAAAAATAGACTCAACAGTTGACTTAGAAGAATGGTTATCTTAAAAATAGCTCTAATTTTTAGAAAAAAAACCCTGAAAAGTGAAACCAAAGTTTTCCTCCTGTCAGGCTCTGGTAAGATCATTTGTGTGTCTGTGTCTGTGGTGTGCCATAGAGAGTATCCTCCTTTTCAGCCACAGGGGTCAGCACTTGGTGCAGACACCTTTACAAATCTCTAAAGGAAATGTCAGCTTCAAATGTAACCCCAAATCCTCGCAATGTGCCATTGCTGGTGACCTGTTCCTACAGGCAGCCAGCCTTTAAGTCCAAGGAATCTGTGTTCACTCTGTGCTGGTTTTTAACTGCTGTCCCTTTCACTATAACAGTGCCAAGATTCATCTTTTGTCTCCATGAAATCTAAAAAGACTCCAGGATTCTCTCAAAGCCATTTAAGGTGTTTAGTTAGGTCTTATGTTTTCYTTCCTTCCTTCTTTCCTTCCTTCCTTGATCAGCTTCCCTCTAGGAACCGTATGTTGTCCCAATGTCCTGAACCAGCTGAAATCATCCATAGGCACATATGAGACATGTACATCATGGATACACAMACACATACACAGGCCTTGTGCTGTGATGCAGATTCCAGGTTCTGAGAAATTCCCTCARACAAGGTTAATGCATTGAGTGTTTTCTGATTGCCAGTAGAGGCAAGCCCTCCACTATCCACTCTTTCTTCCTCCAAAGGTTTTTTTTTTCCCGTAGTCACAGGAAACTCAGGTGGCCCTCCCCCAGGGATCCGAGCACACCTCTCTGTCACTATGTGCACTAATCCTTTCCTGTCCTAATTAAAACACAAATTGCCAYTTGCAGCTGACTCAAGCCAAAACTGTTTGTGCTTTCTGCAGTGCCACAGCCAGAACAAAGGTGCATGGCCATTCCCTCCCTTGGCTGTGCTCCTGGCTCCAGTGAGGCTCTTCACTAGTGACTCACATTCCTTGAGTAACTATCAGCTTCCCATTATGCAGGTTTAGTCAGAAACAAATGTGTGAATAACTAAGAACTGATTTGGCACATAACTGWAATGCTTTGTTGCCTTTATTTCTGAGACCTGGCCTTTGTACCTCTTCTCAGTTYTGTTCACACTAGAATTGCTTATGGTAGGTTTTTATGTGGTCAAAGCAGGAAGGATTTGAAAGTAGATCTGGACACTCAGTGCCACTTGTCTGTAGTATTTAAGGAAGTGCTTGTCCCTCTACTTTATATCCTAATTTCATTTATTGTCTTAACTTTGTCATATGAAGTAAATACCATTTGCTAGTTTGCCAGAGGGTGCAGGCTTAATAGAAACAGACATCGCAGAACTCTTTGGTGAAGGCCATATACATWTGGGTCTGGACAAAATGTCTGTCTYYTTCTCTCTCGACAGTTTCTTCCATTCCAGAAAGTTGTCTGCAGTAATGTCATGTATGATGCTGCATCCACTTTTCATATCCTAACACAACTGCCCTGTGTTTTGCCTTTTGCACTAGCAGAACATTTTGGGGTTTTCCTCCCTCTTCAGTTTGAAAGTCTGTGATGATTTCTGATAGTTTAATGATGATATGATAGTGTTGGAAATGTGATCTAGCTTTAAAGTTCCCTTCCCTTGTACATGGTTGTGTTTGCTTTCCTGATGGAGTGTTTCTGGATGATGTGTAGAGGACAGTTTCTGCTGTGGATGTGAGTGCATGTGTGAGTACCTTTAACAGCCTCCTTTGTAGATAAAAACTTTTTAGTGATCATCTCTGARTTGCAGAATGTTTCCCAAAATACTTCATATTCGGAGTTGAAGTGATTCAGAAATTGCTTAGATATGTTTAGCACATAYTGCTGTGGCACATAAAAAGAGAAAAATACAATGTGTATTTTGGATCGTGTAAGTTCCAAGAGCAGCAGCTCCTCATTAACATTCGAGGGATCAAGTGAGGTTCATCTGTTTCCCCCATGTCCTTCAATATAAAAAAGAAAGAAAATCTTGATGCAAAAAACAATTTATTTATAAAGTTCTTTTTTCTTTCAGCCTCATTAGTTTGATACTCAGCATGCTCCCAGCAGTTACTCCATTGGTTTATTCCAATCCCATACATGCTTAGGTGTGATCAGATGAACTGTTGCCTTGTGTACATGTTACACTGGGACAGGAAAGCACTTGTCTGTCAGCTTTGAAAATACGCATTTTTTAATTAAAAACAAAAGCGTTATAACAAAATAAGCCAAGCTACAAAGGGTTCAAGATTGGGTAGTTTTGCCAGTCTTTAAGTGAATTCTGAAAGTGGCTAAAGAGTTACAAACCCTGTGTGTCTGTGTTGTGTATGCCAGGTGGTTTAGTTGTAGGCAATTGACTTAGCTGTAAGTGTGTTTTAAAAGTGTAAAAAATAAACAGAAAAACTCACTTGCACGGGTGGAAAAGTACAGCAATGACACTTGTGAACGTAACACTGTAGTTTATAGATCTTAAGCTGCTAATTGTTGAGAGAGATTTACATTTGTCTTGTCTGATTGTCACAGATTTATCTGTGACACTTCTACTGTATATAAAAAACTTTAAATAAAGACCTCAGCTATTAACACCAGTCTAGTTTGGATGTTTCCCAAGGGATGGGGGCAGGGGGAGGGAGGTGCTKTTAGGGAGAAAAAGAGGGGTGTGCTAAAACTGCTAAGCCCTAAGAACTCAAAATGTGAACAAGTTTTCCATAGCTCTATTGTCAGAGACACTCAGCCTTGCACCGCCTGGGCACAAGGAGAATAGACTGACTTTAGTGTCTGCTCTCTGCAGATGGAGGAGAGGAGCAGCAGCATTGCATTTGTCSTCAGTGATCCCTTCCAGCCTCCCTTGTGCCCGAGACAGCCTCTCTGGCAGTGTCCCTGCGGGCACTCGGGGTTCACATCCCTGTGTCTCTGCCTCCCTCCCTACCACGCCGTGACTTGGTTTGCAAGTGGATGCAACCAGGTGAGATGACTTACCCAAGCAGTGTCTGGCTTGGAAAGGACCCAAAGTTGGTCCTGTATTTTCCCACCTCTGGTTTGTGMCCTGCCCTGCCCCAAATGAGAACAGCTCTTGCTCCTGTGGACTTTGTCCTTTAGGGATTGCAGGGCCTCTCTATGTGAGCTGAGCCTGGCTCAGCTTGGATGAGAAAGGCTACAACTGCAGGACAGCACTCACTGGTGGAAAGTTAGCTCCCTCTCCCTGAGGAGGGGAAGAGACGGTAGAATGTTGGTTGAGCCACTGCTCTAAACAGAGGCATTTTGTCTACCAGGTTTCATAGAAGAATTTCTGAATCCTTTATTTGTAGAAGCTGGCAGTGAGCATATTCCTCACTGGCGTGGAGAAGATACTTGTTCCTCTCGGATTTTGGTCATGTGGCCTCAGAAATAAAGAATCAAGAAAGGAATGGAAACAACTTTTTAAGGAGAAAGGTACAGACTCCTCCTCTCTGTTTTCACAGAGGAGCAAGTGCTGTAAAACCAGTAAGAGATCAAAAAGCAAAACCAGCTCTTTGCAGGATTTTTTCCCCCTGTAATCTCCCCACAACCAGAAAGCAAATTCCAGCAGTTTACAGATGAAGCAAGTGCATGGTGCTGCTTTTACTAGAGCTGTCTGGCTCAGGATGGGACATGGCTGTGAGRGTAAATGGTTCTGCATTCTTTTGGGGCTGTCACCTGAGAAGTGCTGACTGGCTCAACGGGGGCATGAGATGATGAAAGGTGAAAGCACAGTCCTACTCCCATGTCAACAGATATAATCTGATATTTTAGGGGATTAGGTGGTGTTACTCAATTTTTTGGTTAGTCCGTGGGAAGTGGTTTAATAGCTCCACCCAGATTCTGGGGGACAAACAGGGACATAGCAAGGGTACGGCCATGCTGGGTTGCAGCAGTGGAGGTGAGGAATTGGCTGATGTTTCACAGGACCAGTCATTCTCCCTGGCCAAATAATACCTTCATGTACTAATGGTGGAAATTTGGGCAAATGGCCAGGTCCCTACCCTGTTTTCAAGTTGTTCCTTAAACACCAAATCCACTTTCTCCTTTAAAAGTGTTCGTGAGTGGTGAGTGTCCATCAGCCTCAGTGGATMCTCCTTGGCTGAACTGGATTTGGCAGAAATGGGAAGAGGGTTCTTGGCTGCCTGAGTTAGCATGAAATAGAACATYCCAGGGCAAACCAGCTCTGCTGAATGGCCCGTACCCTAGCCAGATCCCCTCTGAAATTAGGAGTAAGAATCACCTGACTCKGCCTTTGTGCCAGCCCTGGTCAAACAGGAAAAACTAAGTAATAGTGCCTGAGGAAAAAGGCCAAAGCGGGATAGGAAGAAAGAGTGTGTGTTTTCAGCCTTCCTCCCCAGGGCAGCTGTGCCTGTAGCCCTGCTKGTTCTCTCCCTGATACTCTCCTTGCCTGGCGATCATGAGGCCTGAAGRCATTCAGAAGCTCCTCCACTACACACACAACTGATTTCTCCGATTGGGGTCGCCTATCAGATCTCTGTTGTTACAGCCTGAGGACMCCCCTGGCTGCAGTTCATTGTTTGAAGAACACCTTTATCCCTGACCCTGGCTGTAGTGAGGGACCCCTGAGAGCCTGTCTAGGCAGCACAGAGAAGCAGATGAGTGTGACACCACATTGCTCTGTGTTGTCAGTCAGCTCCTCGATTCCACCTGATTCTGGCACTGCTGACACATTTGCACATCACCCACATAGTTCCCCAGTCCCCGCGTGTGAACAGGTCTSGGCCAGCCTAACTCCCGTTCCTCCTCAGCTCTGCTGAACATCTCCCTGGAGGGGATGGTGCTGACACASATGAGCAGACTGAGTGGGCGGTAGCGGTTTGGTTTCCTCTGGGAAGGAGCTGTGACCGGAAAGCATGCCTCATCCTTGTCTCAGGCACACCCTGAGAGTTAAATGGGATGTTTTACAAATCAACATCCTGCTTACCTGGGCAAAGGATCCGGAGACCAGAAATTGTATGAAGAAGAGGTCACGTTTCACTGATGTAGCACGGCCTCAGCAGAAAACATCTTGAAGGATGAAACATCCCCCGACCCTCCTGATTGTTCTCACATATCTTGAGGCAGTTACAATCCTTAGAACGGGTAGAATCACCCTGTCCCACACTGCTCAGGAAGTTAGCGTATGTTACTCCAAAAAYGTTTCTTTGAAAGGTCTTTCGCTTATTTCAGATCAGCTCTCCTCCTCCACKGGGCACATCGGCATTTCCCTCCATCTTTGGAAACAGACTGTCTGGTGAGTGTCAGCTGGCGTTCCATCTGTGCCATCCATTGCTTTCCCAGCTGTCACAGACTGACTGTGCTGGGAGCGGCCAGACCGGCCAGTCCTCGCTACCKGGAGCGCACAGATCCGGGCCCGGGGCTGCCTGGAGCGGCGGCTCCCGACCTGCCGCTGGATGCAGACAAAACCGCCCTTTCCAGCTCCGAAAGTTCCCGTGTTCTGCTCCGGGGCCGCGGCTGGGGCGCCCGGGAGGGAGCGGGACTGCCTGTCCGGCGCAGGGCTGCTGCTGCTGCTGCTGCTGCTGCTGCGGAGTAGCAGGAATGAGATCCGGAGCGGCTGATGGGAACCATTTTGATCTCGGGGTTAACGAGAGGCCCTGAGGGCCGTGACGGCTCCGATCCACGAGCGGGTCCCGCCGCCCCGGCCGCGCCCTGAGGGGACCCGCAGCCCCTCAGCTCCGCCGCCGCCTGAGGCGGGACCCGCTCGGCGCGCGGTCTCTGGCGGCCCCTGGCGGCCATTTCGGGCAGCGCGGCCCGGACCCCGCAGGGCGGGATCCCCTCGGCAGCGGCTCCCGGATCCCCCCGGCGGCGGCTCCCGGATCCCCTCGGCGGCGGCTCCCGGATCCCCCCGGCAGCGGCTCCCGGATCCCCCCGGCGGCGGCTCCCGGATCCCCTCGGCAGCGGCTCCCGGATCCCCTCGGCAGCGGCTCCCGGATCCCCCCGGCAGCGGCTCCCGGATCCCCCCGGCGGCGGCTCCCGGATCCCCCCGGCGGCGGCTCCCGGATCCCCTCGGCGGCGGCTCCCGGATCCCCTCGGCAGCGGCTCCCGGATCCCCCCGGCAGCGGCTCCCGGAGCCCGGGCTGTGTTTGCGCTTTGGCCGCTGTGTCCCGGCACCCCCGGGCTGCGCTGGCGGCGGCGCAAGTTGCGCAGAGGCCGTGGGGATGAGCACCGGCAGCTACCGCCGCTCAGCCCGCCCGCCTGTGGGCACTGCCGGTGTGTTCCCGGCTCTGCCACGCGTCCCGCTCGGTCAGTGCTGTTCTCTCCCGGAGCGGGAGGGAACGTGGCCGCCCGGACCTGCTCGGTCACACAAACAGCTCGCCGAGGCTGCCCCAGGCTCCGGGGCATCCCGGACGCAGAAACAGCCCCGGCCATGTAAACGTCCCGTTGGCTCCATCTCCGAGCCGCTGGAAACGGCTGCAGCATCAAAGCACCTGCGCTGGTTCCGCTGTGCAGGACCCCTCTCCCCACGCTTCAGCATCACTACAGCAGGAACTCCGTGGTTGTTATCGCTTGGACCCAGTCCTGTATCCAGTGCTGGCTCAGATGAAGAAGAGCATCTCCCCGTTTGAAGAAGAGCATCTCCCCGTTTGAAGAAGAGCATCTCCCCGTTTGAAGAAGAGCATCTCCCCGTTCAGGCTCTGCAGTCCCTCTCCTGATCCCGCACAGAGCATCACTGCACTCGGGTCTGTTATCCATGTGGAAAGGGAACACGCAGACGCAGGCCGCAGCTCTGCAATGCCTCATTGCCCCTGCTCTGGAGGGAGTCATTCCAAGGGCTAAATGTTCATGGGACACGCTTGATGGCACTCAAACCAGCAGTCACATAAGGCTGAATGCTCTGCTTCTGTTTCAAGCATGGCTGGGTTTGTGTTTGCATTGAAAATAATCATCTGTCTAATTATTATCATTTGTCTGATCTGAACTTTTCCTCTCCTCTTCTTAAAGCGGGGCTGAAGTGTACAAAGATTTGCTGACAAACTCCTCCCTGCTTCATCCACTGCAGATCTGTTGGGCACCTTGGCCTGATCTGCTCCTGACTCTCCTTTTCCTATTACCAACATGGTGTCTTTGGTGGCAATTCTGGCTCTAGAGGCTTGGTGTCTCCTCCGTGTCCCAGAAAACATGCTGTCCTCTTTCCTGACTTGTCCCAGCAACAAATGGGAAACTATGCTGATCAAGGCTCCCCAAAGACCAGTCTCAGCCCTGCTCAAGGGGASTGGTGTCCCCAGCTACAGAGCTCACACACAAACAAACCTTTTCTTGGATGCAGGGTAGGTTCCTAAGAGGAAAAGAAATTAAAAAAAAATTATATGAGATTTTGAGGTTCTTTGAGAACAGGATAGAGAGAGCATAGGAACAATGGCTACATTCATAAATTCCCCATTTCCTGATACTGGCCAGGGAAAGAGGGACKTCTGCAGTGACAGCACTGCAGAATGATGGCGACTGGAGGTGGCAGATGTGCCAGCTCAAYGGGGAGATGGCCCACAGGCGTGTAGGCACATGGTAGTGCAGACAGAACTGGTAAGGACAAGTTGCCTATGCCTCTAGGGCAAGATAAAYCTGCACAAGTTCAGCCTGAAGATGKTTTGTCCTATTAGCAAAGTGCCCATTGTCCATGTGCCACATCCCCCTCCGAAGAGTTACCACGAGTCCAGCCGCACCTTTTGCCAAGTGTTACTTTTGTGATTAATTCCTGCGGGCAAGGTGTGGCCCCAGCTAAAAATGGGGAGGTTGTAGAACGAGGGCYGTGGGGGTAGAGCATAGCTGTGAGCAGGGAAATGCTGGGAGACAGCTGGGAAAGAGCTTTTATTGAGCTGGTAAAGTCCTCCCCCTTCTCCCAATCAACAGAAGGAAACGGGGACTCTGCTGTTGATATCATTTGTTTTGCTCTGGTGTATGGGTAGTTGTGGGAGCTGCTCTTTGGAACCCCATGCAGGAATTCAAAGAATGTAAAAGGCAAGTGAGCTAGTATATCCTATGTGAACTCAGGTCCTTTTGTGGGGAAGGCTCAGTCCCACAGCAGAATGGCTGCATAGCAGCGGCTTGAGCCTGGGGCTGGACTCGATGGCTCTGGTGCTGGTGGAGTGTGAGGGCACGGGCAGGGCGTGCTGTGGCACAGAACTCATGCACAGGTCGGTAGCAGTGAAGCAGYTCCTGCCACGGGCATTCACAGGGAGCTGGTGCCAGCTGCTGTGACGGGCTGGTACATGGGGACAGCCTCTGCTCTTCCTCTCTGCCGGCTGGTTAACAGCAAGTGTGTGCAGAGGAACGGGGATGCTGGCCCTGCCTGCTCTCCATGCCTGAYACGGAAACACGGGCGCGTTTGTAGGTCAAGATAATTGCCCTTGCCAGGCTTGCATAAATGTGCTTTACATACAGATGTACCAGTGAGCAGCAGTGATCATGGCAGTGGAGTCAACAGATTGCTACTGTCTGGATTACAAAGCGTTTTAATTTATTTATGTTCCATTTTCTTTCTCTGATGCTGAATTCCTGCACTGGTTCAGGGCTTGCCGGTGCCCATTGCCCCGAAAGCAGCAGGGCAGTGGGTGCCTGCACTCCAATGCCTGCCCAGACACCAGCCTGGGGTGATCAGAGCAGAGTCATGCAGGCATCAAGCCCAAGGTCAGTGCAGGGATGCCAAAGGACCCCTCACATGCCAGCCAACKTCCCAGGGGACTGTGGATGGGTGAAACCCCTCCCTGCTAAGCTTGGCTCAGGCCTCRTGCTGATTTGATTGTGGCTGTGACACCTGGCAGAGCTGATCCACACCTTGCTGCCTTCTGTTTCCAGGATTGCCCTTGGAGCATGTGCATGGGGTACCTGCTGTCCCTGTGGCTCTGGGCAGGGTGTGCTGAGGCTCAGCTGGTGCTAGAGCGCTGCTCCCTCTGCGATGAAGGCGTTYAGAAAGGTCACGGGCCAAGAGACTCTGAGATCCTCCTGGCTGCCCCACTCAGACCASAGGCATCACGCTGGGGTTTCTTCTTGCTGAGGCATCTCCCCRCACTGAGCCAAGGGACAGGTGGGACAAGGTCAGTCCAGGACAGCCCTGCACAGTCAGGAGCCAGCAGCCTGTAGCCACCAGCAGCTCAGGGACCCGGGAGAGGAGTGGGAGGACAGCCCTGGTGCCCCAAGGGCCTATCCCCATAACACAGGCAATGTCCAGGCTGGAGGCACAGACTGAGCACCAGGAAAGTTCTGGTGGCCAATGGGGGGCCYGAGGACTCCCTGCCTGCCCCACTGGCAGCAGCACTCAGCGCCTCACTGCACGATCCCCCGTTTGCTCCCAGGGCTGGGGGGAACAGAGCAGGGACTGGCTGGCTTTTCTTGCCTTGCTTCCTGTTAGCTGTGGCCATCCCTCCTGTCTGAGACCAGACCACGGTTTTTGAGGATGTTTGCTTCTCTGTTAGCCTGCTTCAGCCCTGACTCACTTCCKTTCCCGCCGCTGCACCGCTGGGAATGCTGCAGGATGTCCTTCTGTGCTCTCCCATCCTGGAGGCTGGCAAAGCAGCACTGCTGGACTTTGCTCTGTTTCTTGCAGTGCGAGCAGTCTCAGTAACTGCTCAGCTCACTGACACAGGCTGAGGTTCAGGATATACCAGTGCTCCCCTAATCACTGTTCCCCCCACAGCCTCCTGAGGAGCAGTGAGCCAGCACAAATCAGCAATTGGGTTTGTTTTGTTTATTGTTGGCTATCAGCTTGTGGGCTGTCACCCAGGTTTGGGGGTTTTTGTCTGGAGCATCTGGAACCCCTGAGAATTTCAGACAGTGCAGGTAGTTGTCACAATGACAAGTTGTGACAACCCATCCATGTTTCAGGGGAGGGTCTGCCAAGGGCTGGAATTTCCACCAGGCAAGTTTCTAACACATGCTTGGGGCTCTGGCTAAGAATGTGTTAATTAATTAATATTCAGGGCTCCTGCCAAGCAGCCTGGAAGGCCAGCCCTCCTCCAGCCAGCCAGAGGGTGCTGAGATGACRGTGTCATTGACAGCATTGCCTGAGTCTGTTAAAGAGATGGGACAGACGCTGGAGTCTGCCATCCTCCAGTGCATCCTCTCTGTCCCGTGAGGGGCAGATCACTTTTTGTCATGGTCAGAAAAAAAAGAAACCCATGAAGCCTCATTGCTTTTCCACCTTCCAGCTTTGACAAGCTTTGTCTCTTGTTTCCCAGGATTCTGCCAGCTGTTTCTAATGCTATTGATTGGATAATATATCTAATCTGACTTTCTTGAAAATGCCCGRTATATCAGAGCTTCTGTTTTCCTACTTGAACCATCTTCCTTCTTTGCCTTCTTTCTCTTTCCCAGCTGGGGCCAATCTGTCCGGGAAAGAGTCCAATTTATTTCCATCTGATGGGAGCGGATCCCAGCTCCATTCCTTCCATCTACTTCAGAGCTGAAATCAGCCTAGGTCATTATTTTGAAATCCCTCATTTTCTTGCTCTGCATTTTTGCTGCAGCTTTTCTCCCTCATCAGAGGCATTAGTGGAAACACTTCTAAATATCACTTTTTGAGGGGTTTTCTCAGAGCAACCAGCATGCACTCAACATGACATGGATGATTGAGGTCCAGACAAGGTGTTTTCCCACAATTTAGCCCTTCCCATGGTCTGAGGAGAAGCACCAGTATCCCATGTTGGACAAAAGTTAAACTTTTTGGCCAGGCTTCAGTAATCACACATTAGGCATTCCCTGAGGGTTGGGGCACAAGGCTTTCTGTGCTGTGGCTCCTGTGGCTGCAGTCACCATTCTTAGTTCTCCATTACTTAGAAGCATATGGTTAAAGGACCTGTGTGCTTTTGTTCCTGAAGGGATCCCCTGGCAGGGTGCTGTCAGTGGCTGCTGAGGGCTCTGCCAGTGCAGGGCCACCTTTGCTGCTCTTTGTGGAGAGGCACTCACAGTTSTGCACCACAGCATCCTCCCACTTGCCCTGGTGCCTACCTGGGGCTGCACATCTGAAATACACACTGAGCTGCTTCTAACTTTATCGTGCTGACAAGAGAATCACAGCTGATTTGTCCCATTTATGGATCCCCAAATTAATTAATTGTGATCGATAACCCCTGCTAGAATGAACCATACTGCTGGTTTATCCGTGTCATCCCTGTTTGTGTGTTTAAAGACTTCCAGGACGGCCAAAAGAAAATCCAGACAAAAAGATAACGGTGAAAGATGCAAGGTAGGGTCCTGAAAAATTAACTTAGCAGAAAAAAATCCTTTCTGAAACCACATTATTAACTGCTGTCAGGTGACAGCCATTTGGCTTTCATGTGCTGTGGATGAATTCAGCCAAGTTGTGTCAGACTGCTCTGAATTGCGGTGTGTGCCATGACCCAGGCCCTTCCCTGGGCTCTGGGTGCATAAAATCTGCATGATTGCTCTGCAATGGGGCTTGTCAGCAGGSACTGCAGCTGGGTTATCAATCACTTTAATTTGTCATGTGAGCTGGTTTCACACCAACATCTCTGGAGGGAAAATGCTGGAAAATTGGGGGAGGGAGGAGAGAGAATGTCAGATGCTACCCTCCGGCCCTGTGCCCCAGGTTCTTGATGGAAATTATTCTCCCTTCCCACCAGCTAAAGGCTAGTCCTAATTTAAGAGAATGGAGCAAAGTGGCCAATATAAAATGTGTGTRTTTTGTTCTCACATCTGAGTCTAACATGGCCACAAGTCATAGTCTGTAATGATGGGGAGTGTTATCAGTCACACAATCTGACATTTTACCAAAATGTCTCTTTTGTCTCCTCTCTGATGTGTGAAAACAAGGGATGCTGTTTCTTGTGTTCTGTAAAGAAAAATGTGGGTTGCAGAACTGTAAGGAGCCTYTAGATGGAGGAAACCAAAGAAGGAAAGAAAAGTCAAGACCTCTTTCTTCAGATAATTACACAAATACTGGATGTCTAGGGACACTTAAGGGAAAACATTTTAGGAAGTA